AGTACTCGGGCTGCTCGATGAGCAGCCACCAGGGGGGCGCAAAGGTATACTCGCTGGGCGCTGCGTATGAGAATTCCCAGTCGATGACGGCGACAACGTCCATATTGGCATCGAGAAGAATATTAGACGGGCGGAGGTCGTCGCACCAGAACTTAAAGGGGCCTTTGTCGTGCTTTCCACCTAATAGCTTCCGCTCGCCGGCGAGCTTCTGGAAAAGCTTCCTTGCCGTATACTTGCGCTGACAGTCGGTTTTCGACTCGATAGCGTCGTTGCGCTGGTGGGCGAGATGGTCAACATGGAGCTGGGCCAGGCTGTCGAGGTACTCTGAGGAAGCCCTGAATGTAGAAGAAGGCAATTTGGATCGCGGCAAGCTTCCGATTCTAACCAGCTCATTCATTGGCATAGATAGTGGGCGCTGCGTCACCTCCCATTGCCAGTCATCTGTCTCTGCGAGCGAACCTATTAAGGGATGCTCTAGTTGGGAGATTTGAAGAAGAATGTTAGCGACTTGGCGGTAGAGCTTCTCGAGCTTGGCGTCGTCAATTTCCGGGTTTAGTATTGGCCGCATATCAGATGTGAAACCTGGCGTGTTAAGTGCTGCGGTCATGTTCATTTCATGGTTAATGTATTCCATGATAATAAAGGGTCCAATATTAAGGGGACTTTCTTCTCGGGTTCCCCAATGAAGAATAAAGGGGACCGGTATTGTGGTGCGGTCTTGGATATATCTTATGGTAGCGACCTCATTTCGAATCTTTTCTTCCGGAAACATTGTCCTGCCCGGTTTAGCAAAACGGATCACGGCGGAGCCGCCGTCTAGGTACGTCAGACGAAAAAGGGCGTTGAATGCGCCGGCCTTAAGAGGACCAATTTCTTGAGGGACACCTTGGCGGTGCTTCGCGACGAAGTTGCCAATAGCGAGCTGTGTCGAGGGCTCCAGAAGACTCTCGCGCCACTCCCTCTCGATGCGGTCGCTTTCCTCCCATGCGACATCATCGCCCTGCATCCACATTTCAAATGTAATAGCGGCCAAATGCTGAAGTTGGATAGTATAGTATGTAATGAAAAGGTTGCGGAGGGCACCGTGGTGATAGGGGGAGCCTATCCCTTTAACTGTGGAGGAGGAGTAAGCAGGTACTTGCAGGGATTCTAACTTACTTAGTTATTAAAGCCGTTTTTACACCAAAACACACACTTTTTAAATATCTATATTATATTAGATGCGCTATTGCACACGGGTGCGGACCTTGGGTACTCGGGATATTTTAAAGTCGCGATTGACAGTCAGATGCCCAAATTTTACGCGGCTGTTGGTCATTTTGACCTGGACAAGGTGGCTGCCGCGGTGGACGAGGATGGTATCCGGCGGGGGATGAACAGATATATCAAATCACAAAAATAAGCAGTATACCTTTGATAAAGAGTTTCGACGTACCAGCTTACATTCTCGCTATGACTATGTGACTAATATCCCGGTACCACTCTAGCAATTACATGTAGTCCATCCGCGGGCTTGATTGTCACGCCGCCCTTGACCTTGAGCTTATCCGGATCCATGAGTGTCTTGTCGACAAGCTCAAACTCAAAACGTCCAACCAGCGCCGCCAACAAGCACGCGAACTCGCCCTTTGCAAACGCGGCACCGATACAGCTCCGCGGGCCGTGCAGAAACGTCGCCAGCGCGTAGTTGCTGCTGGAGCCGCCGGTATTGTTCAGCGTGACTCCACTATCGTCGCTTGTCCGGGCGTCGAGCCAGCGATCCGGGTTGAACTCTTCGGCGTCGTCGCCCCAGAGCGTCTTGTCAACGTTGATGGCCCACTGCGGGATGGTGACGGGCGTGCCGCGCGCGACGGGTACGCCCAGCACCGAGGTATCCTGCATGGCGACGCGGCCCGTTACCGGCACCGACGGATAGCGCCGCAGCGTCTCGTTGACGACGGCGTTGAGGTACGGCAGGCGGTCAAAGTCGACGCTCGTGAGCGCGGCACCCGCGTCGTCGACCGAGGGCAGGTGCGCGCGCACTTCAGCGCGCAGCCGCGTCTGCATGGCTGGGTTCAAGCACAGGGCGTAAATGGCCCAAGTCAGCGATACTGACGTTGTCTCGTGGCCGGCCGCGAAAAACGTCATGAGCTGGTTCTGCAGGCCCACGTCGGTAAACTGTCCGCTCTCGAGCGCAATCGATAAAATGTCCACGTCGGGCTGTGCCGTCTTGTCCTGCTTTTGCGCCTGCAGCTTGGCGCGCTTCTCCTCAATCAGCTCCTGGCACACGCTGCGAATGGCGCGCATCGCATCGCGAAACTTGCGAATGCGCTTTATGGGGAGCTCTTCGATCAGCCACTGCGGCAGCACGAGCCCGAGCACGAGAAACACGCGGAGTAGAGACTGCCCCTCAAAGACGCTGGTGTACTGGGCGACGAGGGGGTTCTCGGGGTCGCGGATGGCGGAAAAGTCGCGCCCCATGGCGGCCATACCGATGATGTCGAGCGTGGCGAGCGACGCCCAGTGTGAGACGTGCAGCTGGCCCTCGCGACCGTGGACCGACTTGGTCATCGCCTGGGCGACCTCACGCGACTTGTCCCAGAAGACGGGGTACAGGTCCTTGATGTGGCGAAAGTTGAAGGCAGGCAGCATGTGGCGGCGCTGGCGGCGGTGCTCGTCGCCCTCGGACGTGACGAGGCCGACGCCAGTGACGGTGCTGAGCGCATCGCGCACGGCGCCGGGCTTTTCCCACACGTAGCTGTTGGTAACGGTGATTTCGGCCACGGCCTTGGGGGAGATGGCGAGGAGGCGCTCCTGGTTGAAGAACATAAAGAAGCGCAGCAGGCCATCGTGGTCTACGTTTTTGTTCCTGTAGCCGAGTTAGTCCGGCCGGCCGTGTTCTTGAGAAAACATGTCGTCTAAATCGCCCCCTTACCATGTCCTTGAGCATTCGCCTGGAGGGGCGCTATAGAGCTCGGGCATGTGGCCAAGAAGCCAATGCCGTCCTCCGGCTGTGGGCAGGTTTCGTGTCGGCGATACATGGAAGGGATAAATGAATGTAAAGTATAGGCCGCAGACGGCGAGGTTGGCGATCCAAAAGAGCCCGAATGACAAAGCGAGCGACGAGAGCTTCAGATGGTCCGTGGCCGCTGCATCCCGGGAGTACAGGCGCAGCGCTAGAGTCTCGAGCGCTGCCAGGACCGTTACCAACGGCCATGACAGATGCCTCGGGAGGCCTAGTGTTTGCGACATGTCGGCGGTTTCTTTTGGTAAAAAGTAAAGTCTAGCGACCGTGACAGACTTGCAGATGCAATTGACATGTCTGATGGAGTTATCCGCATAGTTATAAATTACTGAATAGTTATTAGCCTCCGGACTTTGGCGGAGCCTCGGTGGAACAAGCTGCGGTCAGTGGTTAGCGGAAATGGGATCATAGCGTTGAAGCAGTGATTACACTAACAGTTCTGGAGTTTCAGCCGTTTTAGTATGGGCGCAGCGGGAAACGCTAACTAGTAATTGGAGAGTGATAATTCGCCTGCCCCAGAAGTTAGAACAAAGTACTTGCGCGGCGGCCTTTGCCTGACCGTTTTTCCCATCGGGTTAACATGCAGGCAGAATGGATTGCGACGCCAGTGACTGGCTATCCCGGCTTGTGTTTCCTATTAGCCTACCAATTGGCTTTGCGACGCGCGGCTTCCTCACAGACGGCAATGCGCTTCAGACACGCAAGACCAGGTCAATGACATGGTTCAGATCCCTGGAGAATAAGTTGCGTGGTCTCCACGCCGGTGCCAGGGTCATGTGAAGCTGCAATTCAATTAGATGGCCATGAGTCTTGAGAGACCAACCCTCCGCCGGAGATCTGGCTCCGCGCCGCCTTATTAGGCGGATGAGGCCATTGATGAGACTACATCGAATAAGTCGAGCTTGTGGACGCGCCCCACAGGCGCGTTTTAGGGCAGAAACACCAAAAACATATCGAAGACATTAAATATTTCTTATTGCCGTGCAACCTCATAAATCCGATATTCTGCAAGAGGCAAGAGTGGAAGACGCGTCCCTGGTACTGCCACAGTCGTGTGATAAGTTGGCCAATTAACGGACGGCGACGGGCGGGAGGCGTGTGTCCGTTGCCGTGTCTCGTTCAAGACCGAGTAGATGTTGATGCCTACACTAACATATCTCTGCCGACTGTTAACGTCTTGTCGGCCTGTCGGGGTGGAGTGCGGGCAGCCCAGGGTCCATCGACATCTCTCAAAAGGTGCTCAAAGGCTCAAGTGGTCTAAACAACAATCCTGATTGTTCACGACGCTACGGTGCCACAAAATATTCCCCGTGGTCTTAAGCAAGTCCAGACTCATCAACAGGCGCTTCATTATTAGAACAAGGGCTTCTAATAGAAGACGTTCTATTTGAAAATTTCGTCCGTCCAGAGGCAGCACGTACAACTCCCAAAATGTGAACTATCAGCTGCGTGCATACCCTACAGCTTTTTTGTTCCAGCTGCTACTCGGTACTCGACTAGCATCTGAAGCGAGCCTTGTAGCACAATCACGATCAACGGGTAAAACGAGGTTCCTAGATACCTCTATTGCTTTTATTCTCTGGCTACACGCACTACATGTCGAGAAACCCGAAGAACGATCGCATAGCTAATCCGTTTAAACGAGTTTGCATATCAGGATAGTAGAACGCCCTAATTATTTTTTTACATTATTAGCTTCGACCTCACGTTAAAAGCTAAAAGGAGAGAGGGGAAAAAAATCAGAAGATAACTCCATGTTATTATATTATAGATAATCTTTAACGCTAATATAACACCTGGTAATATATACCTACTATATAAACTAAAGTGTGTATAGGTCCTTATGAAACTCTATAATAATTAAAAAGAATACTAGTAATCTCTTCGTTATGTAGAGACGTCGAGTCGCAAGATGACCTGCCGTCCCCGATACTAAAAATTATAAAAAAGAAAATTCAGAAAGTTGAACAGCTAAGGTGATTGCCTCGCGACTGCTTGCCCTCAGACAGGTTCGAACTGCCGACCCCAGGATTTCCCAATCTAAGATTGAGTCATAGAGATTAACTCGTATGAGACCTATGTCATAACCAACTAGACCATGAAGGCTGTTGTTATGACGGCGGTGGGTAAATTGTGTTTATATGGGCTTGGCGATCGTCTGTGGAGTGTGCCGATGGGCACATGAGTTCGGCGTTCCATCTTCAGTCTCAACAGCTAAAACTCTTAGAAAAATGACTTAAAAAAATTGCCAGTATTTATTTTAAGAGCTCCTCCCTATTTAGGATCGCAATTCGGAGATGCTGACTTTCAACGCGGTAGAGGGGCCGCTGTTGTTCGCCGACCACTACCTGGCTGGCCCGTGGCCGCCGACCTAGCTAGGTTGCTTAGGTAGGTACCTATTCGAGGTACCTACAGCAGGGTACAAAAAGTCTTTGCTGTACCATGCTACCTACCTAGGCACCTAGCTAAATATCCAGCTTCACCTCTGCAGTGCAACCAAACGCGACTTGTGACTGGCAACAACAAATCCCCATCCATCAATCTTGCCACTGTGCTTCCTAATTCTACACTACTGGATATCAAATTCCACTCCAACATTGACGCTTCACCACCACTTCACCACCGCCTCACCTGCGCATCCGTGACGCGACTGGCTTCACGACACGGCCCCCAGCATGCTGGCTTCGCGCCGGCGGTGCTTCACAACCAGACACACGCAGGAACCCGAGAGCAATTCGATAGACGATTAAATGCAAGACGAACAACCCGGGCCCGCAAAGCCCACGCGGGGCAGCGCCTTCGTCGTGCGGCAACACGACCGCAAGCCGCTCTTTAGCAACGCGACGAAACAAACAACAGCACAACCCCTCGAAACCAGAATACCCGCTCTCACACGGTCGAAGTCAAGTCCCAGCACGCAGGCAAAGTCCTCTGGTCCAGACAATCCCCCTACAACGCCAGGCGGCTCTCGTATTCCGCGCTTTGGCAGCGGCGGCTTTGGCAGCAGGAAGCCCATATCGCTGTCCGACGCGTACAAGCTCGCGGCCGAGGAGGAGGACAGCGGCGCCCGACCAGGCCCAATCGACGGCTCCCCTAGCCCGGCACCGCGATCCTGGCGCACGCAAACGGGCAACGACGGCAAGGCGCGCAAGGCCCTAAACGAGGGTCCCCCGGATGGCAAACGCGCCCTGTCGCCGAACAAGGAGCGCATCGCGATGCGCAATCGCGTCGACGACGGCATCGGAAAGTCGAGAACAAGTCGTTGGGTGCTGGAGGAGGGTATGCGCGACGCAGACGCTCCGTTGCCACCCGCAGAAAAGATTGCCCCGGGGTTTGAGGCATCGCCGGAGAAGAGCTACGCCTGGCAGGTAGACGAGGACTTTACCGCGGGTGACTTGCAAGTCTCAGATAGCCCACGCATACGATTCAACAAGCCGCCAACTACGAGACCACAATTTGAATCGCCACGAAAAGACAACACGCCCAACGCCAAGCTCGACGAGATACGGGCCCGCGAGCTGGGGCTGACGCCCAATGTAGCCAATGCGAGGAAACTTACAAAACTCAACGATAATCCATCATGGGAAAAGGAGCCTGAAAAGCAAGCTCCATTGCTAGACCGCGGGTTCTCGCGCACAAGAGGCGGGCTCACTAAGCTAGACAACATCAAACAGCTAGAGACGCAAGGTCTGTCGAAGAGGGCGATGGCACAGGCCAAACTTGAAGAGATCAAAGAATACAACGCCATGACGAGATCTGTTTCACCTGATGCCCCACGCAGACAATGGATAGGCCGTGAAGCGGCAGGCATCCCACGCTCCAAGTCAGCATTTGAACCTGCAGGAGGGCAAGTCCCCGACACACCAGTCACCACTTACAAATCAGAAGCGGGAAAAGTTGCCGACGACGTGCGTCAGGCGGTCGCAAAAAAAGCAGAGGAAAAGCGCAAAGAAGCAGACCAAAGAACTATGGCAACCAATCCTCAAAACCGCGCTGCAGACAGGCTCTCGCCGGACAAGCGTGACAAGTCACGCGACTTGCTACGTAAACTGGCCCGGGCTGCCGCCGCCAGTCCTGCAGCTCCTGACCGACGACCTGACGACGATCCAGGCGTGAGTACTTCTGCCCCTCGTATGAAGCCCGAAGCGCCCCGCGCCAGCTCCCTGAAACGGTCAGCCCTTGCCGACAGCAGCCGCCGACGGCCATCCATCACGTCATCCAACGCCACCAAGAGCGTCTCTTCCTTGGACCGGCCGACGGTCGGCTTTGCCGGGCTCGCGCGCTCCCGATCCAGCGACTCGCGTAAGAGCAAACGCTCTAGCGTGCATTCGGAGCAGGACCCGACGGACAGGATCGAGGCTGAAGAGCAGCTGTTTGCGCCGCTCGACAACTACTCGGAGCCCGGGTCGGTGCGCGCGCTCTCCCCGGAGATCGAAGACGATGCGACGCCTAAGCCGGCCGCCAAGAATCACTTGTTGTCGATGCCTACGCCGCGCGCACCAGGGGCGTTTGTGGACACGCCTATCACGATCAAGAAAGAGGATCGGGAGGAGTTACGGCCCAGCAGCAGGCGTAGAGTGAGTTTGGAGGAGTCGCCAGACATCAAAACGGACAATGCACCTCGTAACAGCAAGAGGGACCTGGCGTGGGGTAGCAAAAACGTCGATACGGCATCGGACCCCGGTGCCGCTGAAGAAAAGCCCACCAGGCCGGCGCGTTCGCGGAGCCTGCCTAGAAGGCGGCCCCTTACCAACTCGGCCAAGCTGCCTTCAGTGCGCGACGACATGCACGAGCTGCAGAAGCTAAACGACATCGACGACGGGACCTTGGATCAATTAGAAGACATTCTACAGGGGAAAAAGACGACGAGCGAGAAGCTGGATGAGCTGCTCAAGGAGCTGCCGGCGATGGCGGATGTGGTGGCCAAGATTGAAGGCGAACCCGAAAGCAGCAGCGTGGATGAGAATCGCCTGGATGACGAGCTGTCACACTATGAAGCGCTGAGCGCGTCTGTTGAGCGCGATCTCGGGGTGCACAACAGCGGGAAGACGAAACCGGGTGTGCCGTCGAGATTAAAAAAACCCCAACAAGACGACGGGGCCATAAAGAAGGAACATCAGCTCGACGACAAACAGACTGAAGTCGAGAAGCAGCGCAAAAACGACAAGCAGCTCAACGATACGCAGCCGAAAGTTGAGAAGCATCTCACAGTCGATGAGCAGCTCAACGTAAAGCACACCAAACTCGAAAAGTTGCCCAACCACGAAAAACCCACCGAAACTGAGACGCACACCATGGACGAAAAACATGGCAAAGATTGTCCGCTGTGCGCGGCCCAGCCCGCCACTCGCACCATTGCGTACCTACACTTTCCCTTCCCACGCCTCTTCCACCTCGTGCCCCGTCCTCGCCTCACCCTCCTCGGTCTCTTCCTCTGTCTCTCGGCGCTCTGGTTCGCCGCCGAATCGGTCATGTGCGAAATCTACTGCCGCCCAGCCACGTGCTCCGCCCTGGAACCGTGCGTGTGGTCCTTTGACGACCCTGCTGGGTTCGGCGCCGCGCTCCCCGTCAAGCTCGATCAGTGGACGACGGGCGGCTGGGGCGCTGCGGCGTGGACTGTTCTGCGAGACGATGTCGCGGACGTGCTGGACATGATGCGTGGCGTCGACGCGGCCGACGTGGAGCGGATGACGCCGGCACAGAGAAGACGATATCGGAGGCGCATGGCGAGGAGGATGGATAGCAAGGTTGGCTGGGGTCAGGAGCAACGAGAAAAGGCGGATGCGTGGCGGAGAGAAAGGATGGAAATGGAGAGGGGCATTAGGGATGAGGGAAGCGTGGGAGGGGACGAGCGTGTGTGGTAGCGAAAAGGGTGAAGGGGGTATATTGTAGGAAAGGCATCGTGAGCGTGGATTGCATAGGTCAGGATGGGCTTTTTTGTCATTTTCAAAAAGGGGAATCGTTTGGTGGAATGCATAACTAGGAAAGGAGGGATTTTGATTTTATATTCTGGATTAGCAGAGGCGTTTTACGGCCTGGACAAGCGAAGGGTGAACCAGGCATGGATTGATTACTTGATTGTTTCGCGTCGTGTCGAGGCAATGCTGTGTATATTATGTACTCTGTTTTTAAAAGATGCATCGCTTTGGACCTGACTTTGTTTCGTCTACTTGTCGATACCTGTCTGGCAAACTGTCAGCTTTATCCAAACAGACACGAACACGAATTGAGTACACTCTTCTCCTTTCTGATCCATGCAATGCTGCATATTGTGCATCCCTTTCTAAAGCGCCAAACTCCGAAATGCAGACCCTCTCAATTAATCCTCAAACCCACCCCATCCATCCTCTTCTTCATCTTGCTCATCCTCTTCCTCCATGCTCTCTTCCTTGCTCCCCCACGGCAGCCTCGCATCCTCATAGCTCTCCTTTGCCCGCTCCCGCACCGTCTTGACCCCATTCCTTCTCAACTCCTCCACCATGTCCCCCATTTTCCTCACCAGCCCCTGCATTTCCCCATCCTCTTGTGCTGCTTCCCCCAGCACACCTTCCCTGTCCAGCTCGTCCACCCAGAGATCCAGCACATGCAGCCTCAGACCCAGCGGCAGCTGCCCCAGGCCTGAGCTGCCGCCCTCGCCATCAAACACGTATTCTTTACATACACCCTCCACCACGTCCCTCTCCTCCATCCCGCCTTCCTTTGCGTACCGCACCATGGCGGCAAATACACGCCGCGCCAGCAGCAGAAACTTGTCCAGCCGGAGCGCCTCGATGCCGGTCCACTGTGCGCCGAGCACGTGCCAGAAACCACGCAGCCACGGCCCCGCGCAGTGCGCGGAGCGTAGCGAGAACAGCAGAGAGGCGAGGGAGGAGGCGAGGGCTTGTTGGGGTTTAGGTCGGTCGGTCATCCAGAGGGCATAGTAAAGACCGGTCCATAGCTTGCAGGCGTCGGAGAAGGAGAGGGTGCGACGGGAGGCGAGGAATGCCGTGAGGGCCTCGAGGGAGGACGTGCGCAGCTTGCGATCTGTGTGGTTGGGGGGGCTCGTTAGTCATGTTGGAAGAGGAGGTAGAAAGTTTGCAAGAGACGAACCGCTGGAGGCGAGATTT